TCGATCAACAAAATCTCAATGCACTACAGAGACTAGACAGTGGGTGCAATACGCTCTCTATCTGAAGACGTGAACCATTACATTTTTTGGAAAAGTTATACGTACACCTGAAACGTAATGAAGTACAGGAATAGAGAGAGTGACCTGGTGACTACAATACGCTCTCGACCTGATATAGTGATAACGTGAGTACAAGACACTCTCCACCTGATAACGTGTTAGAAGGTAACATGTCTACAGTCCCACCGTACCCTTCCGACACGACTGTAGACCATTAATTTTTTTTGAGAAGTTATACGTACACCTTAAACGTAATGAAGTACAGGAATAGAGAGAGTGACTACAATACGCTCTCGACCTGATAACGTGAGTACAAGACACTCTCCACCTGATAACGTGTTAGTAGAAGGTAACAGGTCTACAGTCCCATCATTCCTCATTCACCATCGCGCGATACCCTGGCACACACTGGCAACATACCGTATCAATGGGGTGCCTTACCGTCGTCTAGAGGAGACGTCTTCGCAGCAATATTTTCCCTCCTGCGCATTCAGTCGCCCGATTCATCGGGCCAATTCAGCAACAGGGCCGTGGACACACAGGGGGCAGAGGAGAGACATTGTTAGTGGACAAGAAATATGCAGTGGCAAGTGGCGAGTGCCGCATGGATGTCAAGTTGTCATGCACAATTCAGCTATTACTTACGGTCCAGCTAGTCCTGCCATTGCTCGCTCGTCCTGGTTCCTCCTCGTTCGTCTTCCTGCACGTCTGCACTTCTCCTTCCCCACCGTTGGCTTTGCGGTACGGGGGTGCCGGAAGGAATTCCCACCATGTATCCATGTACATGAAGTCCCACCATGACTCTCCATGCACATGCCCACGGCCACGTCAGCAGTTTGTATAGTACCGGAAGGAGTTCCCACGATGTCTCCAAAGGCCTAGAGCGGACGTCTTTGCAGCAATTCTTTTCGCCCTGCGCATTCAGTTCGCCGACGATGTCTCCAAAGGCAAAGGCCTAGAGCCTAGTAGAGGGGACGTCTTTGCAGCAATTCTTTTCACCCTAGTACCCTGCACATTCACTCCGCCGACACGACAGCGTTTACGGGGCCGTTCCAGGTGCAAAAGGTCCACGTCAGCAGTTCTCAACTATTTCGCGTACGGGATAGTCGCCGCGACAGCGTTTAAGGGGTCGTTCCAGGTGCAAAAAGTATCCATCAATGGCACTTTGCAGTATGGGGTACGGAAAAGGGGCCTCCTCGTTCGACTTCGTCGACTTCTGCAGTTCTCCTTCCCGTCAGGGGTACCGAAAGGGGCCTCCTCGCAGTTGTCCTTGCCGTCAGGTCCACGTCATGCAATTCTCAACTATTTCGCGTACGGGATAGTCGTCTTTGTCGTACGCGACATCGGCGTTTACCGAGTGGCATTGGCACAAAGCAGACCGTTGACGGGGTCACGTGTCAAAAAAGTATCAACAACGTGTCGACTACGTGTCGACCACGTGTATAGCGGTACACTCAGCGGTACACTAATTCTCGTGCCATTCTCGTGTCACAAAACTGGAACATCGAGTACCAGTATGGAAAGGCTTCAGACAGGAAGCCTTTCCAATGAATCGAAGGAAAACGGTCAACTCAGAGATCACCTGTCATCGAGTATTCCGTAAAAGGAGGCCTCGGCAGCGGAAAAGCTAAATTTAGAAAAGAGATCCTGTCAGCTTTTCCATTATTTATTGCATTCCGCCCAAAATCAGCACACTTTTCGTAAATGAAAGAGTCAAAACAAGCAAATGAATCAAAGGAAACTGGTCAACTCACCTGTCATTGAGTAATATTCCGCGAAAGGAGGTCTCAGCAGCGCCGAAACGAAATAAGCCAGGCCAGGAGACGAAATATCCGAAACAGCTCATGCAAGAAGCAGTTCCAAAGAAGGAAGTAAATATTAGTTCCTCGCGCATGCACATATCCGAACACGGATCCGCGGACTGCATGCACTGCATGCAACACAACGTCTGCCGTGCACGTGCACAGCACGCGGCTACCAAGCGTTGGTAGATCTAATACCGAGCACCTTACGTAGAGACTTACGTAGCCTAAGTGAAATACCGAGCACGACCACTTGCACCCTCTGAAGGAGGCCATCGACAGCAAACTGATCCCTGCTTTGATGAAGCATCAACTGAATGATGTGGAGATGGATTTGGTCAAGCTCCCAACTCGGTTAGGAGGTATGTCCTTTGATGATCCAATGGCCGAAGCAGAACGCAAGCATGCGGACTCACTGCAATGCACAGCGCACCTCACAGAGCAGATTGTGAAGAACGAACCAGACGCTGATGTCATGGATAGTGTTGCGCACGACCGAGAGCAAAAGGCAGTTGTTCACCAGCGTAACTGAGCATCCGCAACAACCAGAGCTAATGAGGTGCAGAGCAGGCTGCCGCCACTCCAACAGCGAGCCATGTCATTAGCCAGAGAGAAGGGAGGCTCTAGTACGCTCACGTCCATCCCAGTATCGGAACATGGGCTGTGTTTCGACGCGAAAGCCGATTTCCATGATCATGTCCACCTGCGCTATGGCTGGCCCTTGGATAGGCTGCCGGATACCTGTCCCTGTGGAGAGCGGTTCACTGTGGACCATGCCCAGATATGTAAGCTGTCGGGCTTCATTCACATGCGCCATGATGAGGTCACCAATTTCCTAGCCTCATGCATGAAAGAGATCCACAACGATGTGGAAGTTGAGCCGACACTCCAACCCATCACCGGTGAAGCCTTTCGCTATCGTACTGCCAATGTTGAGCCCGATGCGCGAGCGGACATCCGGGTGCGGGGCTTTTGGAACCATAGCCGCAATGCATTTTTCGATACGAGGGTGTTCTATCCCCACGCAGCGAGCTATCGGTCCCAGCCCATTGCATCTATTTATCGCAAGTTGGAAGGTGCCAAGAAGCGGGAGTATGGCGAAAGAGTTAACCAAGTTGAACATGGCTCGTTCACACCACTGGTCTTCTCCTCTTGCGGCGGAATGGGTCCAGAGGCAGCCATCGTCGTCAAGCGGATTGCTGATGCTCTGGCTTCTAAGCGCAAGGAGAGCTACAGCAAAGTCGTTTGCTGGATGCGCTGCTGCTTGGCTTTCTCTCTTGCTAGGTCTGCGATCCGGTGCGTTCGAGGATCACGCTCCGTTCGCCGCCGTCACATCAACCTTGTGCCTGTCGACCTCGTGCAGGCTGAGGCTCGCCTTGCTACGCATTAGACTGTCTTCACAGCCATTTTAGCTTCCTCCTTATTGGACTGTTTTCACAGCCATTGTAGCTTCCTCCGTATAAGACTGTTTTCACAGCCATTTCAGCTCATTTTCTCTCGGTACTAAGCTGTTGACCTTGCACTTGTGTTTATTTTGCCCGTACAAGAGGCTTGGAACCACTTTCATAAAAAAAAAATACCGAGCACCTTACGTAGAAACTTACGTAACATAGCGGTGTCGTTTTTCTTGCCATGTGAACACAATAATAGAAAAGCTGACAGGATCGCTTTTCTAAATACCGTAATGTCGTGTATAAAAGCAGGTGCTTACGGCCGTAAAAGCCGGGATTCAAACCATGCTTCCATTCAAGTTATTCTTCTATTCAAAACATGCTTCTACGTCAACACCATCCGTCTACACTGTGCAGTGCATACTGCCACGCATGTACTTGCACATGTACTTTGCAGAGAGTGGCTTCTGTTCAAATCATGCTTCTGTGTCACGGCAAGCTCAGAAAAAAATGGGCTCCTATTCGAGTCATACTTCTATCCAGGTCATGATTGCATACGGGACAGTACAGTAGTTAGAGTACACAAGTTGCAAAATGGACGGTCTCAGTGCAGAGCAGAGCAGAAAGCTTTTTGTGCCGTTCTATTAGAACTACACAGGGAGAGTGATAAATTATACACTGTAGAGGATTTTTTGTGAAGATAGGCGTGAAACGAAACTCATTGTATGTCATTGTATGTCATTCAGAAAAGGTTTGAGGACACAGGAACAGCAAATAGAACAGAAAAAGAAAAGTGAAAAATGCCAGAACACAAGAGGAAGAAGCTTGCCGTGCTGCGACAGACAAGAAGGGTGTGTTGCAGAGGAAACTTTTTGAAAGGCTTGAAATAATAATTAGGCCAAAACAAAAAATAGGCTTGTTTCCGGTCGGCAACCCCTCAAAAAGGAGACTCGGTCGGCCGGAATGAAACTTTTTTTGGATACTTTTTTTGGTTCCTCAATCGTTGTGGTATTGATAGACAAGAGCACCTACACATGTACATTGTACATATATCATGGCAAGGATCAATGTCAAAGTTGACTGACTCACTGTTCTTGTACAGCATGTGGTGTATTCCTGTTTTCATACATCCTGAGAAATCAAGCAAACAGTTCGAGTCCTTCCAGCTCCGTTATTCTAGCTCGTATCGACCCCGGAGGTTTTCGAGCCCACAGCTGAGAATCTCTGCTACCTTGCAGGTGTTTCGATTGTGGAATTCGGTTGAGATTTGACTGAGTTATGACTCGTTGAGTGCACTTGCACACATGGCATTGCCACCGTTTGTATGCATTTGGGACCAAAAAAAGTCTCAGAATTTGGGAAAAAGTGGCCCGGTCGGGCGACCAGAAACAAGGTCATTATTTGTTTCGGCCTTAGCAGGGCATAACACTTCACCATTGGCATCTATTTAACCCTAATTCCTGAAAAAGAAGGGATATGCATACGTTGTACAAAGTTTAACCATGCTCTTTTCATGTATATACTGTGAGTTACTTGAATATGTTAGTGCCGACTGTTAGCTTCCCAACCAGTCAATAAAAGCGGACACCAAATCTCGGAGCTCATGGCTCGAAGTAGAGCGTCAAGATCCGCCGTGCCTTTTTACCCTCCGCATTGTTGCAGTCGGCTGATGGCTGAGTGGATGGCTGAAATTGATGATCATATTCAATGGTAGTGTGCACTTGCTCCTCAACATTGCTCTCGCCGTTTAATTCACAAAAGTTGTGCATAACAAAGCATGCGTAGATAACAAAAGGCAGATCATCCATTTTATATCCATTGAGCGCTTCAGGATACCGAATCGTGCCTTCAGGCGGCCGAATGCACACTCTATCACCATCCTTGCACGACAGAGCTTCAGCCCAAAGTACTGCTCCTGAGGCGTTGACCCGCCTCCAGCATACTCTTTCATCACATAGGGCAGTAATGGATACGCTGGATCTCCAAGGAGAAATACCGCCACTGGATCCTCATCCTCCAGCAACTTGCGAGGGCAAGGCGGAATAGAGTGGTCTTTGAGACTCTGGCTCAACTTAGAGTTGGCAAACACACGAGCATGGTGCACACTCCCTGGCCATTTGACTACAACATCAATAAAGCAGTACCTGTAGTCATAGGCTGCCTGGACGTTCAGCGAATAGCGACTCTTCCGGTTGATGAAATCTGTAGACTGCACAGAAGGCTGCTTGATGTCAATGTGCGTGCCATCTACGGCACCCAGACATTGGGGCACTCCATGTTGCCTCTTGAAGTTGGTCACAAGTTCCTTGACATCAGCTTCAGAACTAGGTAAAACAATGTACTTTGGACCTAGATGGAGTGTAATGGCTTTGGAAACACGGCGAACAATCTGACTGACTGCGGCCCTTGACACACCGAACGCGTTGGCAGTTTTCCGGAAACGGACCTCGTCGCTTATGTAGTACAGGAAAATGGCCACTTGCTTGTCCACAGCGATAGACTTCCGCATGTTTGTGTCCTGTTTCTGGATAAAGGGCCTAAGATCATTGAACAGCTTGTCAAAATTCACCTTCTTCATACGAAAATTCTCCTTGTACTCCTGTGGAAAGGATACACCATTGCTGATGTTGTCCCACCATAGGGAGGTTCTGCCTGGCTTTATCCAGCACCGGCGCTTCGCCTTGAGGCTTACAACTCTCTTCGCTCTCCTATCCAGATCCCGTTTCTGCAGTAAATACCACTGCACCAACTTCTCTACTTTCGAACGGTGCAGTAGATGAGCTTGTAGGATGGCCAAGTGATTGCAGGTCTGGACTGCAAAGAGTGCGCAGAGAACGGCTACAGCGATCACCCTTCTTTTGTGCGTCTTCAGTGAAGAGCTCGGGACCGGTGGCATGGTTGCACCCGGTACCCCAGAGAACAACTGAACGTAGCCACTACGGGGATGGCGGCAGTAAAGGACGCTGCAGCGCTGCACGAAGATGGCCTAGTGAGCGTGATGAAATAATTAATTTTGTAATAATCCGGCACACAAAAAGCTCTCGATCTCTCTTTCGATTATTCCGCCATTTCGGTAGCCATGGCACAGAAACGATGAGGTTCCGTTTTCGCTGTTTACACAGTTGGAATCCGGAAAAAAATAGTTGCGTTTCCAGATTCTTACACCTTGGTGAGCGTTTTTATTTTGTTCCGTTTCGCGCTTGCGTTTCTTTCGTTTTCGTGTACTGTCGTGTAAACGGAAGGCCAAAACGCCAAATATTCATGCGTTTTCGCTGGCAGCGTTGTCGTGTAAACGCACCCAAGATCGCATCATTCTCGATTCAAGGACGCGTACTGCGGTGGCTGGAGAGTTACCTGTGTGGTCGCTCACAGCAAGTAAATATCTCGGGTCAATTGTCCCACCCTGAACGCGTGTGTTCTGGTGTCCCCCAGGGATCAATTCTGGGGCCCCTGCTTTTTCTAATGAATGTGAATGATATCGGTGCAATTCACAACACCTCGCTATATGCGGACGACACCACTCTTCTGGCTAGTCACCAGTTGCTCCCCGTCGCGTGTCCAGACCTGCAGGTAGGAATAGACTGTGTGGTCAAGTGGATGCGAAGGTGGAAACTCCGGCCGAACTCCGCCAAGACCGAGATCATTTGTGTCGTCCCCAACGCGTCATCACCCTGTGCTCGCCCAGCTTCTGACCCGGGCACAAGGCACCCCTACCCGCCATCAGCAGTCAAATGGCCTACTAAGCCAGGCAAACCGTAGCCGCCGCGGTCAGCGGAGATTTTCTGTTGCTGGTGCTCTGCTGTGGAACGCTCTCCCTGGTGAGGTCCGCACAATTACCCGGCTACCTGAGTTTAAGCATGCATGCGTACCATACGCCTGTAGGGAGTAGTTCGAGTTGCTGCTGATTGCTCTGCTCTCCCTCCCCGTGCAGTTCAGTAACCCGGACGTAGTATCACAGATACATCGTATTCTCTCTCTCCCCCCGTTTACCCGCAGTCATTAGTATCCTATTCTCTTACTTTGTGCTTCCATAGCTTTTACTATGTTCTTCCATAGCCACTTCTAGGCTAAGCCTTCGCCGTCATTTTATTGGGTCGTCATCCCGTTTGAATGTGCGAAGTGAAATAAAAACCAACCAACCAAACCAACATCATCAGATGTTGCACATCTTCAAACCTTTCTTTTCCATTTCCCCGATGATCCTACCCCGACACCTACATGTATAACCAAGAGTACATAACCCCCCAGAGTGTGCAACTCCACTATGCAGTCCATGCGCCAAGACCGAAAAAGTCGTCTAAAAGTTGTACTTTTTTATGCAGATTAGCCACTTTTCCGAGCTGAATATATTCAAATCTTCGTTGAAAAATTGTCAAGAAAATGTTAGATGTCTCGAGTCGTTTGCAATTTTCTCTCCATCAGTGCTTGTTTGCGGAAGTTTTGCTTTCCGGACACCTTGATTGGGCCTTTGACGTTGTGGATGTCAGTTGTAGTGGTCGTTACTCATTGTCTCGACGTCGCTGGGAGTGTTTTTGTGGGAGCTGTCAAATATTCGTAAAAATCAGGCAAGTGGCAAAGAAAAATTCGCCACATTTTTGGGCAAGGTAGTATGTAGACATCGATGCTTTCCTTTGACTCTTCACCGATGTGGAAACACTTCCAGAAGCGTTCATCGGTGTTCAGTTCTTGATGGGATCGTGGTGGCGTCCACGGTTTGGAACAAAACAAAACCAATGCATTGTCTGTCGTCACCAGTGGGAGACGTATTACATGGCAAAGAAATGCACCAGCACCCGTATTCACTCTTGAGGGGCCTGAGATAGAAGCCCACATCATCTTCGTTCAAATGACAAAGTTCTAACCAGGGTCTGCAGACCGCAATTTCAAAGCATTGGCGTGTTCTTCGGGCTTGCAATAGTGTTATAATTACTCATGAATGTCTCTTGTAAGATTCGTGCGAAACTGAAAGTTGTAATGTACTCTCAGGACAGCTTGAAGTAGGTTTCAATTCTCAGTGAAGTGCAAAGGTCTTAAACCGTCATTGCGAATGTCAATGGGAATATGATCCAAGAGTCCACAACCCCAAGGGAAAGGTGTGATGGACTCTTAGTATGATCTGTGCGCAAAGAACTGCAGTTGAGTCATCGTTTTAGCAATATGGCTGCGTTCTGGGTTTTAGCAATATGGCTGCGTTCTGGGTTTTAGCAATATGGCTGCGTTCTGGGTTTTAGCAATATGGCTGCGTTCTGGGTTTTAGCAATATGGCTGCGTTCTGGGTTTTAGCAATATGGCTGCGTTCTGGGTTTTAGCAATATGGCTGCGTTCTGGGTTTTAGCAATATGGCTGCGTTCTGGGTTTTAGCAATATGGCTGCGTTCTGGGTTTTAGCAATATGGCTGCGTTCTGGGTTTTAGCAATATGGCTGCGTTCTGGGTTTTAGCAATATGGCTGCGTTCTGGGTTTTAGCAATATGGCTGCGTTCTGGGTTTTAGCAATATGGCTGCGTTCTGGGTTTTAGCAATATGGCTGCGTTCTGGGTTTTAGCACATCCTTAGACTCTTATTGTACTGGAGTGTGCACTTTATAACACGTGTACATGTATAACAAAAGCTGAATTATAGAACGGTAGAAAATGATATGCCCCATTCTCAGCTTTGGTTTCTGGCGTTCTTTTAATTATTAGTATTTCAGGCTGCGTGTTCTTGGGCTGCGTGTTCTTTAAAGGGGAAGTTAACACCAGTTGTAGTCTTCGGGGTGCTGAGTCGAATGGTCTTGGTCCGAGGAAGCTGAGACGCTCCTTTCCTCCTTTATTCCCAATCGAACTCGCGCACTTCCACCGAAACTGGGTGACTGCTCCCTACTAGATGGGGATTTGTATGCAAAATGTCACTATTAAAGCGCCATTTCGTTCTTATCAAAGCACGGATGACCGCGATTAGCCCATATGTTTTAGACTGGTTTTGGTCCGAAAAGGCAGCGATGCAGCATTCCTCATTTATTCCCAATCGAACACGGCTGAACAAGCGGTCACGTGCTCGTGCGTACACCAGTCACCTGGTCACAGCGACAGCAGGCGACAACTTTCACACCAAGGTTCAACGCAAAGGTTCAAAGGTTCAACTCCAGTGACAGAAACTCGCTCAAACATGCTGTAAGTTGTAGCCTGCAGACACGGTGACCAGGTGACTGGTGTACGCACGAGCACGTGACCGCTTGTTCAGCCATGTTCGATTGGGAACAAAGGAGGAACGCTGCATCGCAGCGTTTTCGGACCAAAACCAGTCGACTCAGAATCCTGTTTTACCATTTCACCCGCCGATACCCGGAAACCCTCAATAATTTCAACATACTGTAGTTCTATCCAAGAGTACACGACCTCACTTTTACCTCCTGCCCACTCACACTGGTCCCTGTTTCCGATCCACTCTACTGCATTCCATGATCACCACGTGGAACTCCCTGCCTACCGAGATTAGGATATCTGAAACCCGTGGTGTATTTAGCCAGCATGTTAAAGGGGAAGTTAAGGCAAAAATTAAAATTTCACCAGTTGTAGTCTTCGGGGTGCGGAGTCGAATGGTCGTGGTCCGAGGAAGCTCGATATACCAGTAGCTGCTCAATGAAATCCAGTCGCGTCACTCGAGTACGCGCCAGGAGTTGCGCAGCCCTAGACCTGGGAACACTGGGCTGCGAAATGGTGCAAGGCGCTAGACTGGTTCTACAAGGACATGTTAACAAAAAGCGCTTGGTGGACAATGTTCGAAAATTCGGCTGGTCGAAACGCAGTGAAATTGTCAGCACCAGACAAAGCTTTAAAGGGGAAGTTAAGGCAAAAATTAAAATTTCACCAGTTGTAGTCTTCGGGGTGCTGAGTCGAATGGTCGTGGTCCGAGGAAGCTGAGACGCTCCCTTCCTACTTGAATCCCAATCGAACTCGCGCACTTCCACCGAAACTGGGTGACTGCGCCCTACTAGATGGGGATTTGTATGCAAAATGTCACTAAAAGCGCCATTTCGTTCTTATAAAAGCACGGATGACCGCGATTGGCCCATATGTTGTAGTCTTTGGGACGCTGAGTCGACTGGTTTTGGTCCGAAAAGGCTGCGATGCAGCGTTCCTCCTTTATTCCCAATCGAACATGGTTGAAGAAGCGGTCACGTGGTCCTGGGTGCCCAAATCACCTGGTCACCACGCCAGCAGGTGACAACTTTCACACCAAGGTTCAACTCGGGTTCAACTCGAGTGACAGGACTGCACCCAAAAAAGGTCAAACAGGCTAGTAAGTTGTACCCTGCAGGCACGGTGACCAGGTGACTGGTGTACGCAGGAGCACGTGACCGCTTGTTCAACCATGTTCGATTGGGAATAAAGGAGGAACGCTGCATCGCAGCCTTTTCGGACCAAAACCAGTCGACTCAGCGTCCAAAAGACTACAACATATGGGCCAATCGCGGTCATCCGTGCTTTTATAAGAACGAAATGGCGCTTTTAGTGACATTTTGCATACAAATCCCCATCTAGTAGGGCGCAGTCACCCAGTTTCGGTGGAAGTGCGCGAGTTCGATTGGGATTCAAGTAGGAAGGGAGCGTCTCAGCTTCCTCGGACCACGACCATTCGACTCAGCACCCTGAAGACTACAACTGGTGAAATTTTAATTTTTGCCTTAACTTCCCCTTTAATACTATGACATCAGACATAGCTTACGATGAGCAGTTCTTCGAATTCTGCTCCTCTCTTCGTTATCACCTAAACACGCAGGAAAGTGACCAGACATACCAGAACTGAAAAGTACCAAATTTCGCCGACATTTCTGCCACCATTATCTGCCACTGCCAAGGCGTAGTTTACATTAGCCATTGGCGGATAATGCTCGAAATGTTGGCAGATTCTACTCGAAAAGCAGAGAAATTGGCAGAAACACGCAACCCTTGTGGCAGGCACTTACATGTACTTGAATTCTGCTCCATTTCTTTATCCACATACCAAACATGCATGAACCATACCAGAAATTTAAGGTACCAAATTCTGGCAATTGTTCTGCTGGCGTTATCCATCAAGGGCTAGTTCACATCGCACTTGCTACCTCAACGTACATGACATTGTACTTTAAGCCAGGGACCGAATGCAGTCGTCCCTTTATAATCCGGCACCATTTGTGCTGCGGAAATCCTGCTGGATTAGGGAGGGTGCTGGATTAGGGAGGGTGCTGGATTAGGGAGGGTGCTGGATTAGGGAAGGTGCTGGATTAGGGAGGGTGCTGGATTATATAATCTGATTTACTGCTGCATTGGCCATGAAAAGGATATTTTGGTTGCTGAAAATCATGCTGGTTAAATTAATAGAGGGTGGTGGTTAAGTGCTGGATTGAAGAGGGACGACTGTAGTACACAATTCAGGGAAATTTCCTTTTCTCGCGGCTCTATCCTAAACTGTATTTCCAGTACAGTACATACACTGTTTAACGACTTGAAAGGTACGCACCATCAGTCCATCAACGATTAACGTTACCATAACAGTGAATCTGACTACTCCAGCTCTGGAAACTGGTTAGCATAGCTGATGAGAGCATAGAACACGTCGCAAATACACAGAAGACGAGTACATGTAACTTCATTCGTAGGCAGAAAAAAAGACCAAGCAACTTCCAGTTACGCTATAATGTCCACACCGCCTGTTGACAATAAGCTCATGCGATCACATTGCACGACACTGGCCGACAGTACTGACGTTCTACAACTAACTGCAAGAGTACATAACCCCCCCCCCCCCCGTACTCTTGCTAACTGCCAATCAGTTCTAGGCTAGCATGGCTAGCACGCTTGGATGCTCAATCTAACACTTTCCAGCTTGGAAGGATTTTGAAAGTTAATATTCGTAACTTCGAGTTTCAGGAGAAATCCCTCCTCTGTCTCAGCTCAGGCTACATAGTAACATATGAAAGCATACGATGGTCAGTGAGCCATGTGGCAAGCACAAATTACTCTGCACATTCGGTCGTCACGACTCATGTTCTGTGGAGAATAGGATGAAACCAGAGTACATTTTATTCCAAATGCATGGAGCAAAGTGAGATTACAATTCAGTGTAAAAATCAAGTGGTAATGAAAAGCCAGCGGCACTCGAGCTCAATTGTTTTGGATACTGATATCAATAGTATGTGTCATTTGGAATAATTGAAATTTGTAAACTTTGCGAGCTGAATATAGCACGAAAATGGCACACAGGGAAAATAACCAACACCAACTCTATCTACTGCTGAAGGCGATGGATTTTAGTTGTCCGCCGTGCATGGAATATGTTCAATTCTTGCTGATCCCACAATAAGTGGAGTTCTCGCCTCTTTCTGTAGTATGGAAGCATTGTATACTTCAAAAGTACTGTACATAATCAGATTTTGTCATAATTAATGTAGGAGCCTACAGGGGAATCACCTTGCTCTCTCGTCTATCATGCGTAGGATGCGATGCGTTTCGGAATAGAGATCATCAGCCGGTGCACTTTCAGACTGTTCCATCACCAGTGCGTTGCCTGTGTTGGACAGGGCGTCGACTTCAGCAAGTGCAGAGGGCACATTGCCAACCTGTTCGGATGCTCGCGGTGCCTCCCGCCCTGGCGACCTTGGTCGTTCTGCCAGTGACAGTCGGTGCTGGAGCACTTGTTGTAGTCGCTGAGCTGTGGCAATGTTCTGCGCGGCAATATAGCGGGCGATACCCGGACGTGGAAAGTTGCGAGCGGCCCGCTCCACCTGTCCCTCCAGACTATCTGGAGGGTTTTGATACGCTGGTGTGGTAACCACCGTCTGCTGCTTGACTTGGCTGGGTGGGAGACCCTCTTGTAACGGTCTCTTGCGATCCACCAACTTAGGGCTTTCAGCCCTTATGCTCAGTTGGAGCCCTGATTTAACTGTGTGCATGCTCGCGCTGCGCTCAAACGGGCCAGTAGCAGACACCGCACGACTGCGCGGAGATAGGGGCTCAGACGGGTTGTGGTTGGTGTTGGTTGGTGCGACAACTCCAGGATGCTCTGGCGGTACTTTATCTTGGCTTTTTTGTTCTTGTTCACGACGAAGCTGTAGATTGGAAAGAAGAAATGAATGTCAAAGCAACATGATTATTATTATACATGTACGCTTGTCCGCTTTGACATCACCAAGCAAGCTTGGCTAGTCTTCGCATAAGCCAAATGAACAAAAAGAAATGAGGAACGAGCCAGGCCAATGAGGTGAACAAAAGCAACATGAAATCAGACTAAAGACCAAAACTACAGTAAAACCTGGTGTAAGCGACCACTGGGTTTAGCGACCACCTGCTCTTAACGACCGCTTTCCATGCACCGACAGTTCCACACAGACACTGTGGGATAGGCATGTGCGGATAATGCCAGCAGAAAAATTGGCAGAATTCGGTACTTTTTCTGGTACGTTTCATGCATGTTTGGCGTGTGGATAAAGAAATAGAGCAGGATTCGAGGAATTGCCCGCCATAAGGTTTGTATGGTTCTGCCAATTTCACTGCTTTTCGAGCAGAATCTGTCACCTTTTTCGAGCATTATCCGCCAATGCCTACTGTGGGACCTGGTTCTAAAGACCACCTGGCTTTGGCCGCTTTTTGCTTGCACCGTGGGGTGGTCGCTTAAACCAGGTTTTACTGTACGGCTCTCGCTCATCACAAGCAGCATTTCTGAAGATTTCCACAAGTGCATTCATTGCCTTCTCTTATTTAAAAAGTCGCTACAGCCATTACAGGCAGGACAGGAACAAGTATGATTGTGCACCACCTACATGTAAGTTAATATAATTTGTGAAGGAGATTTTAATACCCAGCAGTAAGACGGATGGCGAGAATAGACACACAGCCTCGTGATCTCTTTTGTGTATTCTCGCTACTAGTATTCCTTTATACCTTGTATGGGTGTCGATTCTCAAACATATGGACAAATTTACTTTTAAAGTAGGAAGTCCGATAACCATGCAAAAGTGCTGTAAATCTGAAGACTTGAACAGATCCCCGTGCTCCTCTTCCTGTTGCTTATTATCATCATTACATTGATTCTCTGATACTGTGTAACATGTAATTTTAGCCTAGATTTTTAGGTGATGTAAAATTTCGGTATCAGGGACCTGCCAGGTTTCAGGTGTAATGTAGAATTAGGTGACCATTAGGTTCCCTGCACCTACACTGCATACTCCAGTGCCCTTCAGGTGTAATCTAAATTTAGGTGCCTGGTTTCTCTAACGAAATTACCAAAATTTAGATTACACCGAAAATAACGTGTTGTACAGTAGCTGTTGTACTGGTTATAAAGTGCAGTTTCGTTCTCTGCTTGTATCCACCACGTGACCTGAGGAGCATGAGAAAGCAATGAAAGTGTCGGTGCAAGGTTCCTGAAATGCTGCTCGTCAAGGACCTGAAGTTAGTTCTGTTTGTAGTGTGATTTAAAATTGCAGTTCCACTTCTAGGAAAGTGCAGTGCTGGCAACTGAAATCCGACCCCTGAGCGGTGCGTTCACATTCTAGCGATCTCCATTTCATGGTTTTACTATCCCATGGTTAGGTCTTTGCGATGTGAGCGCACCACTCAGGGGTCGGATTTCAGTTGCCAGCACTGTAGTAACAAGATACCAAGGGAGTCACTTGGAGCAGTTCCTCGTAATCAAGCAAACACCAGTGTTGCACCAAGGAGCCGAGGACAAATAGCAGAAAGCCAACACTACGGGACATTGCTGGCCTTCTTGTATTTGTATTGTATTATGGATTCTCCACAGGCCTTAGTCTAAATCGAGGGAGTCTCCCTTCTAATGGTTTCTATGGCAACACTTACCCTATTCCTGAGTCGTAGCAAGCCGTTGAATCGCATCTGCTCAGCAAAGGTCAGTGTCTTATTGTGACCCATGTTTAGGAGGTCATCGGACATGGCTAGCTTCTCCATGGCTGCCTCGGCTATCTTCCACATTGCTACGGTTGGGCGACCTGGATTGCGCCTGCCTGCCACGGCACCAGGGGATGTCCGCGAGATTCCATCTTGGTAGCGGTGATCAGCTCCGGACTTGGGCGGATTTGCCCCAGTTACGTCGTTCTGCTTGACGAATGACGTAATGGTCGCGGTCACGGCGGACTTCTCGAATTTGGAACCCTGCAGTCCATCATGCTGTGGTGATCCATTGAGCAAGGGTGTCTGGCTGTTGTCTTGAGCCATTCTGTGCGCACTAGAGTCTCCAATGCGAATTTGGGCGCTTTCCTGAGGCGTTCTCCGACCAGATGAAGTCCCCGATGGATTGACAGTCTCCACTGCAGTCTCTGGTTTGCAGAGTACACCTGGGAACTCCCCGCGTGCAAGCACCACAACTGAACACCGTGCCAGCTTGCCCGGGTCTTGCCCCGCGGCCAGCGCTATCTGAATGCGGGGCCATTCCCTGGTCGCTCGAACTCGGTGAGACCCAAACGACGACAATACTGACCACCATGCTAGTGCCGAGACCAGCATGGCCGTCAGACACAGCATCACGCTGCACTTCGTTGCCATGGCGAGCGGATGCCGCGGTAGTATCAGACGGCGGACAGTATGGGACACGACGCTGGCCATTCCGACACCGCCACGGGGACGATTTACAGTAGCAGTAAAATCCACCTCGGTCTGGTGTTACCAATGCTCTGTGGCTACAGCAATGGCGACGCGAGCGCAATACCTCTTCTGCAGATTATGTCTATAGCTGTATAGGGTTGCTCGGTCCGTAGCAGCAATGACCACAACCAGAAAGCTGTCACATGCACAATGTACCTGCTCTTGGCATCAGGGCCTTACACATCTGCTCCTGCTGCACCGCCGCGTACGTCCCCAGTGCTGGAGAGTGTTGCAAGAGGGTAATCAGGTACAGAGAACAGGTAGATAGTGGCGAAGCTGTGCTATGTGGGCGAGCGAAATGAGAATCCGCTTTAGAGTTGCAGTCAGATCTCCAAGGAACGGAAATATGGATGAACGCCACAACAAATAGTGTGCCTAGCAGGCAGGTACGAAGTACAGTCAGTACCCACGGCTAGAGTTGGGAGCGGAAGCTGCGCGTCCACTCTTTCCCTCTCCGTGTGCCCCCTCCTAGCCACGTCCTGTCCTGGATCAATCACACCTACATTGTGCGTAGACCTCTACTCTCCACTTTTCGCTCCGGCCAGCTCTTACGCAACAGTCACGGGACCTTGGATTTACATGGATACGACCATAATAGGCTACTCTCTTCAGTGTGAGACCGTGAGCATCATACCACCCTATGGCCTAGGCTAAGGTCTAGCCTACACTAGGGTCAGTGCCTGGCTGGATATTCTAGCTCTACACCACAACTGGAACTACACAGTCACTTTATCTGTCAAGATAGGAGTGCAAAGGACTGAGGTAGCAGGGGACTTAATTAGGACTAGGTGATTTCATGTCCCGCGCAGCACCGTATTTTCAGACCTGCTGAATAGAATGTAATGATTTTGATGGTGCAGTTCCGGCTCGAGTGGGTGCACGGTGGACGGCATTGAGTCACTTGAGAAACAGCCTGCTATCCGTGCAGCGCAGCGTGCAGACGCCGGTACTGCGGGTGTAGGGTCAATGCAGTTGCACAGCTAGTAGTGGTACTGTCGACCTAACCAAGATTCTATCGCTAAAATAGTAATACATGCACCCCCGAAGTCGCAAATTGTAAGTTCAACATTCTATCATTCACCATAGATCACCGCTGCACCCTTTCTTCATCCAGCAACATGCATGATGTTTCAAATATTTTTAAAGCACGATTCGCACATTGGAAAATACGTGCACTGGACTCTAGTCTAGATATACGCCTACCCCCCCCCCCCCCCTACCCCCCCCCCTCCCCCCTACCCTACCCACCACTCCAAAACGAACAGCATTAGGAGCGGACCTTTCTGACATTCGCAACGAACAGACCTGGACCCCTCTCTACATTCGGAGCATAATACTTGCGGGGAACTTCCGGAATTTTGAAGCAATTGTTTATTGACCCGCCCGTAGTACATGTAGAGCAGTCTGTGCCAATACGCAGCTTAGCTGGACAGTTCAGATGATGAACAACGCCTAGGAACACCCCGTAAGGATAATCGTGATGTTTTCAGTACAGTGTGCAGTCCTGCTGTGTCATACATCACGTGACCTGGTGCAGTGTGCGCGTGCATGTGTGCGTGTGTGTGTTTAGTCGCGTTCCTTTAAGTTTAGAATTTAATGAACTTTCAAACTCGAATAGCAAGGTCCCCGGTTCGAGTCCCGGTGGTGTGACTCACGTTTTTTCTTTCTTTCATATCTGGCTTGCAAGTGTGGGGTTTCGGAGAGAAAGCAGCTGTACGAGGCATGTGGCCTCTAATTTAATAATACTTGGTCGGTTGGTTGGTTTTTATTTTACGTCGTTCCACAGCAGAGCACCAGCAACAGAAAATCTCCACTGACCGCAGCGGCTACAGTTTGCCTGGCTTAGTAGGCCATTTGACTGCTGATGGCGGGTAGGGGTGCCTTTGTGCTGGGGTCCACTTTGAACTGTTTGAAGTGGTAATAGCCTCTAGTCTCTACTTGGTGACGAAGTTGGTGTCCCATGCTCTTGACTGTGGGATGATTGATACGCTGTAAGACATGCATTGTTGAGCATCATCTGCACACATTCCTGGAGCCATGTCGTGACTCTCCTGTACACCGCGGTGTCACAATTCGCCCGCCCGGTCAACAAACAAGATGTACATGTACATGTATGACTCTCAGGCGGTGGTTAAGTGGCTATTACTAGAGAGAGAGATGTAAACAAAGAAAGTACCCCTCCATGTGACCATATTATGCAGAGTGCAACCCACAATGCATTCTGACCAGTTGCACACGCCAAGGTCGCTTCTCTCCTTCATCACTAGCATTACATTTTTTTAAGAAAAAAAGTAAATTATCGTGTCCGTTCCCGGAGGGATTTCCAGACGGCCGCCAACACCCGGTAGAACCTAGCGGCAGATGCAGCGCTTAACGGTGGGGGTGAGGGAATAAGTCTCACAACCATTCGCCATTGGCACAAGTGCCGAGAAACCCAATTAGCTGCATCCATGTATCCCTTGGTACAATACTATTACATGAATACCAAGTTGAATGTTGAATGCTTTCACTCTGAAGATGGGCCATGCCTAAAAAATTGGTGAGTTCAATTATTTATTTATTTTGAAGTAACGCATGCAGCGAAGAGACCGTATTTGGAAAGTTCGAGTTGAGGTACCCTATTATAACAAATCTCCTTCGTCTTCGGAACTTCAGCAATCTGGTCCAGGGAAATCTGCCTCCTGCTCGACCTGAAGTTTTCATCCTTTTACCCACAACCATGCCGACTGAGAGAGCGCCGCCTTCACTGCCATCGGGACTGCTTCGTGACCAAGCGGGCACCGCTATAACCGACCGCGATATTGTCCTGATCAAACGGCACCGAAATGCTTGCGAATTGGGTCATCTGGCATGAGCCGTCCGGCATTATCAGCAATTTTCAGGGAACGAAAAGGTTTAGTTATGCCCCCCCCCCTCCCTCCCCGCGAACGAAGTACTGGAGTGTTGTGTTGTTGATGATTGGGTTTTGTACTCTTTGTTGTAGCTTTATAGGACATTTGGCCTCAACAGTTCAACCCCGATTGAACCCGTACCCACGCACCCGTCCATAGACCAAAAAAAAAAAAAGGTGTTTTAGATTCTTGTGAACGATGATGGCGATCGATGGCCAATCACAACTGGCACGGAGACATACATGTACCGGTACAGTCCACTTCGCTAATAACGACTGCGGATATAACGACAATTCGCGAATAACGACATAATTTTCATGCCCAGAGCAAAGTCCCATCCAACTGTGACACATAATGAGACTTCGGGTATAACGACACTTCGCGAATAAGGACACTTTTCCGATGCCCCGCCGAGTGTCGTTATAAGCGAAGTTGACTGTACACAACAGAACAACAAGGACAATCAAGGCTTGCCTGCTGCTACTTCAAGTATTAGTTTCATGCTCACGCAATATCATCAGGCAACAGCCACATGTAGCGCCAGAATTAGAAAGACTTTTGCGTTTGTAACCACGCGCCAAATGTCTCAATCAAGAGTCAATGTCACGCATGTGTGCCTAGTATGACTGTCCACGCTGCACACGACCACGATGAACACCCGTACCCCACACATATCGGGCGAAGTAGACCAACCGTGGAATGTAGCATATTGTATTGTTGCTACAAAGTGCCAGTTTCATGTTGAATGCTACCCTCTATATAGCTGGAGTTCTCGGTCAACACGTGAACCGTGATTTAGCTGTTCTCATCAATTCGAATCGGAACTTCTATAAATGCTTCCTCTCGAGACTTGAAGTGCCTAGACGATCGACGAGTTCAGTTGTGCAGCACATTCCGCAGGCGAGAGGAACACGCGGTGCGTGGATCAGCATGATTACAATGTACAGTGTAGTAGAGAAAAAGAAGTGCCAGTGAGTATGCGTGTGTGTGGCGTGTACCTCTCGGTTTGTTTGTTCCAGTTAGAGAGTGGTATTCGTCATTTTCGGTTTATTTTATGCAAATCCCTGGTTCTAGTCCTTCAAGTCAGGACATTTCTTCCCTGAGTGACACGTACATGTACGTAACGTCGTTGCAAGTACAGTAAAACCGGTCAAGGCGACCACTCGGATAAGGTGACTACTACCACCTGTCCTAGATGACCACTGTCACTGAAACCAGGATCAAGGGATGCTATCTCCACTCAAATGACCCTGGAGAAGGAGACCACCTGGTAATAGAGACCACAATCTGAAGGTCCCTTGAGTGGTGGTCGTCTTAGACAGGTTTCACTGTACGTGGGTACGTGTGTATTTTTAACTGTTTTCGAACGTGTTTGCAAACAGTGTAGCTACATGTATTCGACTGACTGTTTCCCAACAACAACACAGTGGTCCGTCGCCTTATGCCATGCTATCAACCAACAACATATTTGCAACAACACAAGGTTTATCTAAATGTATAATAGTATTGTAATAGTATTGTAATAGTATTGTAATAGTATTGTAGCTGCGCAGGCAAGTACTAGTACATGTATACTGAGTATTACAGAGTATTAGGCTCACTGATCGAGCGCCTGGTTTGAGCCAAAGCTCAGCTTTGTGACCGTGCAACTTTAAGTGCAAAGTTCCCTACCAGAATTACTGCACGTGATTGTCTTGCAAGTACCAAGATGGCGATAGATGGTACCATCGCACCATTCGGAAATGGCGACGAAGAGATACAGCTGTATTGCTTGCTAGAAATCATTACATTCTATTCTCATCATGACCTGGCCTGTGGCCATTAGAGAATCACAACTATGGAAGTAATAGTTGCCTATAGGCTAGCCCAGCAGTATAGGGATAGTCTGTAAGGTAGTGGTCAAAACACGCCGAACTCAAACACTGGTCGAGGCACAGGGACATCACATTCATGTACGGTCCTTGTATTGTAGCGGGGCTGTAGAATAGTTGTTATGTTGATGAGTAGCGCACCTCACGCGGTTGTAGCAGTGGTTGGCTGATGTTACATACATGTACTAGTGTTATCCCGGGCCTCATCATGCCTGAAGGCCACTAACGCAGTACCGATAAGTAATTACTGGCAATTAGCTAAGCATTAGAGCCAAAGTGCACAATTCACCGTGCACCGTGGTACAGTACCTTACACACAACATGTACAAAAAAGGAATGAAAACCGGGTCTGCGATACCTCGGAGCATCAGGATCATAAAAATGCATGTACATGTACATGTAGATGGCCAGACAGAGGTACTGTATACATGCAGTACAAAATGTTAGCGCTCAAATGTAACATTTGTTCCGCCATCGTAGTGCTAAAGGGTTAAACGACGTATTGCATGTAATTGTACTGAAATAGACGAAATCACATGGAAACGAGTTATGATAATGATGAAGCAACTATCCACGACTGTAATAAGATCATAAGCAGTCAGAAAGAGCGATAACAGGGCACAAACGGGGGCCGGGCACATCTATTTTATTAAAAATTTTGTGGCTCAGTATCCGAGTTAAAATTGTACTGAAGTACTGTACATGTATTCCTGCCGTTTCCTAGTGTAGTACATGTGCATGTACATAATAATAATAAATAATACCACAGCACGCGTAGGTTCGGCCTCATTTCCTCTGTGCTGCGCTGATGAGTTCAAAAAGAACGAAACAGCATGCTGTCCGCAGATTGAGTATTTCGCTCCTGCTCTTGTAGCAGTTGAGCACTCTTGCGTGGGGTAGTGCCTTTGCTGTTTGCGTTATGCAGAGCTCACTGACTTGTCAGTTACTGTTTGAGCACTCTGGCAAGGTACGTTCGGGCC